TAATAACTGCGTCCTTGGGTTACCGTCACGTCACCGTCCCCTATCAGGAGGCTCGAACAGGTCAAGATGTTCCCGAGACACATATGTGCGAGGCGGATAAACAGGGAACCGCAAGCCTGCGTCATGGCCTTGTGAGCTGGCCACATTGACATGCATAACAAAGAACTGGGGGTTGAGTCCCCAGGGGCCAGGGCGGGCCTACTATCAGCAATGTGTGTGTGTGTGTGCATGTGCATGTGCATGTCATTATATATGAATTGGGAGATTTCATGTTAAATTTCAGATCTCTAACTTTCTGAAGTATTAGCTCACCAGATGCCCACAACCCTCACCACCTGAGGTTGCGGCCCCAACACGACTCACCTCAGACTTTTAAGTGACCTGCCTGACCTCAAAGGCATCTGAGTTATGAACTCTACTGTGAGTCATGAGAAAGGCTCTTAGTGTACCAAGGAATCTTGAAGCCTTTGTAAGTTTTTATTTTTGTCTCTTTAATATGATGGTGCTGGGAAGACTAAATTTTAGCATGCAAAATAATGAAATTGGATCCTTATCTCATACTATATACAAAAATTAAGTCAAAATAGGTAAAGGACCTAAGTGTAAGATCTGAAACCATTAAAACTCCTAGAAGAAAACATAGGGGGAAACCTGAGCATTGGCCTCAGCAAGGATATAAAATAAATTTCTAAATATAATAAAATTGAGATATTTTGTTTCTCATGTATTAATGTTGATTAAACATGTAATGTACTATGTACTATTAAGGATTATTGTGGTTGTACGTTATTTTATGGGGTCGAGAATTAATGCACGATTTACATAGGAGCTATTGTGTTTATAGCTGAATAATCAATAATCACATAAAAATCAAATTTGGGGGAACTGGTAGAGTGTTGATACAGGGAGTGGTTTAAGTTAGTAATATCAGCTTTGGGAATTGAAGGTGGAATTTGTTATTTCTTCCCTGAAAATTGCTCTCAGAAGATTTAAGTCTTCATTTTGGTTTACAAGACCAAGGTAATATTTATATTATTAGAGCTCTTCATTTAAGGAATTTGTTTTCAATTAAACTGACAGCTGGTAAGACTAGTAGAATAATAGTGAGGTAGAGGATAGATACTAGTTGACCAAAAATAACAAATGGGTACTCTACTGGTTTAACTCTAATTCAAGTAAGTGTGACGAGTTTGGCAACTAGGATTCAGAATAAACATTGGCTCAGGGGTTAGAATATCATAGTTTGTTGTTTGGATACATGGAGAAGGGGAAATTTTTTTTTAACTAAAAATATTAAACTAAAAAAGCATCTGTGCAGCAAAATTAACAACAAAATGAAAAAGCATCCTGTGGACTGGGGAAAGTATTTGCAAACCACATATTTGAGGAGTTAATATCCAAAGTTTATAAAGAACACTTACAACTAAAAATCAGAAGAAGAACTAACCTGAATTGAAAATAAATAAAGAACTCAAATGGACCTTTATTTAAGGAAGACATAAAAATGACCAATAAGGATATGAAAAAATGTTTAACTTCACTAATACCTAAGAAATGCAAAGTAAGAGCTGGGATCATGGATCAGTGGTAGAGCACTTGCCTAGCATGTGTGAGGCACTGGGTTCTATTCTCAGCACCACATATAAATAAGTTAAATAAAAAGTACATCAACAACTAATAAAAATATTTAAAAAGAGAGAAATACAAAGTAAAACCACTATTATCACCTTGTACCTGTTAGGATCATTATTAAGAAAGACAAGAAATAAATGTTATTGAGTGTAAAGAGAAAAGGAAACCGTTGTACACTGTTGGTAGGAATGTATATTGGTATAGCCACTATCGAAAATATCATGGAAGTTTCTAAGGAAATTAAAAATGGAATGAACCAAGTGACCCTAGCATGCATTCTTGTGGGTATATACCAAAAGGTATATACCTTTTGTCCATCCCATAAAGTAACTGCACTCCTGTATTTACTGCAGCATTATCCATAATAGCCAAGATTTGGAAACAACCTGAACATCCACCCATGGAGAAATGAGTGAATGTATAAAGCAACAAACAGTGGTATACACACACACGAGAATAGTAACCTTAAAAAGATTGAGATCCAGCCATTTGACACAATACAGACCTACAGGACAATTATGCTAACAAGTCAGACAAAGAAAGAAAAAATATTTTATGTTCAGACTTAGATGTGGAGAGAAAGAGGAAGAAGAGGAGAGGAGGAGGAAGAGTCTTCAAATATACCCAGCAAATAAAATAGTGGTTAGCAGAAGCAGAGTTGGGGAGGAAATGGGAAATGGGGAGAATTAGTTCAAAAACTACAAAGTAGGAGGTAAGTGAGATTAACAGGTCTAGAGGACTATAGTTGTTGTTGTTTTCTTTTTTTTTTTTAAATCATACTGGGGATTTTTGTTAAGTAGATTTTAGCTCCTCTTGTGGAAGAAAAAAAGTTATGTAAGATGATAGATGTTACTTTGCTTCACTATTATAACCATTTTACTGTCTATGTATCCCACGACATCATGTTGTAAACATTAAATAAACATTTATTTTTAGTAAGAGAAACAGCAGCTATGAGCAAATGTAGTTTTCTCAAGTCTCTAGGAAGCTCACCCAGCTAGGTCTGAAGGTTGGCTCTATTTGATTTCTCAGTATCTTTGAAAGAGACAATATGGAGTTCTCTTTCTTTCAAGTGCTATTCATATGATTGAATGATAGCTAATTTTGTTTTTCAAAATACTTTCACACTTCTGATGCATTTCACACTTCACTAATCAGGCATGCATCTTCACCAACAATTTCAGATCTTAAGGCTTCATAGGAAACGCCCATTGTAAAGCTCTCATTACATCTTCTTGGAGATTTTGCTTCGGGTTCTTTTATACCACATAAAAGTAGAAGAACATGGAACTCCTAAGAGTCTGGATCTAGACTGACTGAGAATGAGAACAAAATATTTTACAGTAATCAAAAATGCATGACAGGTAGCATACAGACCTTGTTTTAGGGAAGGAATGTCCAAAGTAGAATGAGGAGCAAAGGATTTTACATTCTCTTCTATACAAGTGTGAATGAAGAACCCCAGTTGCCATGGAGTCTGAATCTCAGAAGGAATGATCAGCATCTTTTAGAAGCTTCATTTTTTTTTTTTTTCCCGCCAAGACCATCTGCTGACAATCCCAAACCCCAGGCAGCTGACTGTAATGCCTATTAATATGTGAAAGACTGTTAACATTTTGCCATCTCCATTTCTTCTCCCTTAATCAGGACTGAACCTGTAGCAGGTGTGTGCAGGGAAGCAGAAACCCGCCCTGGAAGGTGTAAATTAGCCTGATCCTTGGCTAAGCTTGAGGGAATCTCAGAGGCAGCCCATTCTTTCCAAGGGATTCTAATGGGAAGAAGGAAATCTGACAAGAACCAAATAGTCTTTGGTGAATCTATATTCCAGGATGAAACGCCAGAAATTTCAGACTCAGATTGAAATCTTTGTTTGCAAAAGTTTTCTTTTCTGGTGATCCAATTCTCTCTTAATTAATTAAGAAGGATTCTGTCTGGACATTGTTGGCTTTTAGCAAAAATTATCTGATGTTGCTGAAGTCTGAACACGTCTGACAGATTTCTAGACAGAGTATTAAATCATTTCCCAAATTGTTTAAATCCTAGGACATAAATAACTGACATGATGAGAAACTAACATCAACTTTCTCCCCCCAAATAAACATGTTTCACCATCAGAAGTAATTAACTTTTATACTTATTACAATACTTTCAGACAGCTGTTTAGTTAGGAGGTGAACTGCATGTCAAGATCAGTGAAAAGTATATAGTTTAAGGCCTATAGAACTCTTGAAGTTTAAAAACATCCCTTACTTGTCTTTAAGAAATTATTCAGGGCTGAGCCCTGTGCATTTTTATCTGGTTTAATATATTGCCTAGATGGTTCTTTTCTATACAAGTGACCTATCTTTACAATCCTTTAAAAAATATTATAAATATTATAAAAATATTATAAATATTTATAAAAATATTCAGTCTCTGTTCTGAGGACTGAGAAAAATAATTTGCCTACAAAAACCTAAAGGCCTGCTAACAAAGTTTGTGCTATTCAAAACAAAATAGGAAGGGTATGTGTACTTCTGATAATATTAATATTTATTTTGTTTTTAAATATTCTCTTTAAACAAATTATTTGCAAATATTTATTCTAGCAATAATTTCTAAACTGCGACATGTGTGCAGGTCTTTTAATTCTTGAGATGATTAGACTGAAATTGTGATTGTCTTATGTATTAATATGACTTGTCGATACTTTGAGTAAAACCCCAAATTAGAAAATAATCGGTCTTTAACTGAGTAGACCTTGGTCTCCCTGTTATCTGGGATTCGATTTTCTTATTTAGAAAGTAAAAGTTGGATCAGTTGATCTTCTAAGTTCTCTTTCTAAAGGAGTTGAAAGAAAAAGAAAAACGCAACTTAGCATCTTGGATAACAGAATGAAAAAACAGGGTTGAACTAGATGGATCTGGGTTTGAATCTCAGATATTATTAGCAGTGGGAACTTAGATTTCATTTTACTCAACTATAAAATGGGACTAGATGACAGCTGTATTGAGGGCTGCTGAGGTGTACATGAGAACAAAACTGTAATGTTCCCGGCACAATTTGTGCACATATTGTATGCGCTTATAAATGGTAGGATCATATTTTAAGGTCAAGGAAAACATAAAGTTGTGCACATGATTTGATCTAGTAATTTCTACTCTGGCACCCAGAGAAGAAAGGGAGTGAGCACTGTCCTTTTCCAGCAGAGATTTCCCTCTGCTGTGATGAAACCAGAGCTGTCAGGGTTTAAAAAAAGAACACCATCAGGGCAAAGGCACCACATCTTGGCAAGAAATGCTTTGCATAGTTTCCACCATCACCACATTCTCCTTCCCACTGCACACCCTGCTTCTATTTAAATCCCAGGCCCTTCACTGGACCACACTCATTTCAGCCAGTACACAGGCTCCCAGCACAGAAGAGACAGGTAGCATGGCACCAGGAGAAAAGGAAAGGGCTGAGGGCCCAGCCAAGAGTGCCCTCCGGAAGGTACGCACAGCCACCCTGGTCATCAACTTGGCCCGAGGTTGGCAGCAGTGGGCGAATGAGAACAGTACCAGGCAGGCCCAGGAGCCTGCAGGCTGGCTTCCTGGAGGGACCCGGGACCCACCCCAAGCTCCTAAACCAGCAATAGACCCTATCCCCCACCAGAAAGCTCAGGGTGCCCCAAAGTTTCCATCCCCAAAGCCAGAGGGACGTGGAGATGAAGCCACGGAGGTCTCCCATATCAAAAGGAAAGAGGTGACTAAAACAGTTGTCAGCAAAGCTTATGAGAGAGGAGGAGACATGAGCTCCCTTAGCCACAGGTACGAGAATGACAGTGGCGTGCCTGAACCCGGACAGCCAGAGGATGACATCGACAGGAGGCTCCACAGACAAGACTCCCCGACACGGAGGAGAAAATGCGCCAACCTGGTATCTGAACTGACCAAAGGCTGGAAAGTGATGGAACAGGAAGAGCCCAAGTGGAAGAGTGACAGCATAGACACAGAGGACAGCGGCTACGGAGGGGAGACAGAGGAAAGGCCCGAGCAGGATGCAGAGCAGGTGGCTGTTGTCAGGATCAAACGCCCCATGCCCTCCCAGTAAGTGAATGTCTCCTACCACTGTACCAGGATCTCTAATGATCAGGCATCATCTCCAGGAATCCAGAAAGCCAGGGAAGCACTACTAGAGTTAGTAAGAATCTGGAAGACTGGGCGGGTAGTGAGTACTATAGGGAAGGCGTGTCACTGGGCTGAAAGGACAGTGCCAACCTCAGACATGGACATTTGGGTCCATGCACTATTCTCGACTGAAAGTGGGAAGTGGCATTAGGATCCTTTTCTGTGTTCCTGAAATCAGGCATGCATATGGCACTTTCTCAGTGAGAAATATAGAAGTGCTGAACAAGAGACAATTAGATTTGACTCATGGTTTCTTAGACAATGTTGAGTTTCTGTGTTCTCATTTAAAAAATAATAGATGTGATAATTCATATTTTATTGAGTTATTTTTATATTAACTATGAAAAACAATGGATTCAGGGGAGCTCTTTAGTAAGTTGTACCCATTATATTGCAGGAGCTCAGACTTGGTGATCCCAACCCTTTGAGGTGCTAGGAGTTTGACTCTCTGTGGTGTTTTGGTTTTGGTTGCAAGAAGGGTAGTAAACTTCCTTCTTCCCTTCTTCAGTTCCTTTCCCCAGTCTCAGAGTACACAGGGTACCAGAAGGAGACCTTCAACAGCAGCTCTTAAGGCCAAAGGTAATCCTAGCTGTGCTTGGCAATTTCAGCAGAAGTCCAATGGGATTTTTTTTTTTTTTTTGGCCTGAGGAGACTCCAATATTACTTAAAACTGAAAGTGCCATTATTATGTCTGTATCAAAGGGCATGTTTTTCTATTTTTCATTGTAGGTACTACCCTCTCCCCATAAGTGACAACAGAGCAAAAATTTTGTCATGGTTGCTTAAGTAGAAAGAGTTCTTGGTGGTAAATCATTACCACATGATGTTCCATGGAGTGGTTTTGCTAACTAGGATTTTACTATGAAAATTATTTATATTTTATGCCTTATTCTAAAAAGAATCTTTTGATTATATATGACTTGTTCTAGTTCCTTTAGCAAAATAAATTGGGTCCTCTCTCATAAAGGTGTATAAATAAAGCACCAATCATCCACTCTTTCTTCCCAGTTGTGTTTGGTAAAAGCAGCAGGTGTTGCATGTTAGGTGCCATTTTATAGATAAATGAATGGATATACACAAATGTCAAGAAATATCCAAGTCACAAGACTAGGTAATTAGAGAGTTAGAAAGCTTGATCCAGAGCTTGTATTCTTAATCACTATGCTGGACTTACTCTCCCAGTAGAGATCAGTATCAACTTCATCAATGGAATCCTAGTAACTCCAAATGTGTAGAATTTTTGTGCAACCAGGTAGAAGGACTTCAGAAGTAGACACTTGACCTCCTACTGCCTGCCCTCAGTTCTAGAGCAGGGAGGGAACTCTTCCCTTGGGACTCTGGGGGCAGTTACCAATTTGCAAAGAGAATCACAGCTTAGGTCTCAAAACTGTTGACAAGACAACAGAGAAAAGAACATGGATGATCAGAAATGATCATATTGCCTTTTGGATGCAATCATTTTGTTTCTGATAAAGGGGGCCCTATTGAAGTCATGCTCCCCTTAATCAAATTAGCAACACTTCCTCCAGGGACGCTAACTCATACACAGAGGAACAAACTCTCCCCAGCACTTCTCTGCAAGGATGGAAAGTGTGGCAGATGTTCTTTACTGAACTCACAGTGAAGGGCGCCTTGGCACTAGGAGAAATGCTTCCTTTAGGATCTGTGGGGAGGGGTCACCTTCAAGCACTTCCCAGACAGACCAGAAAACTCACCTGTAGGCTCCATGATATTTCAAGGCTGGGATGCTGTTGAAGGGCATCTGTCAGAGAATGGGTAAGCTTGAAATATACCTTTTAGATATTGTTAGTTATAGGATCAAACTTCTTTTGTATTCTATGTTATTCCATTACATATTTAATAACTTACCCATATAACTATTACTCCAAAATGACAGAATTAGGGAAAAATGCATTTCCATATTCTCACCTTACTGCAACAAGGCCCCTTCACATTAGCAGCACTGAACTAATGTCATGTTTACCGTTGACAGATATAAAATTCTTTGCAAAATTGTTTTCAGTGAATGAAGCTAGATTTACAAGACAGATTGCTTGCAATATCTGGTAGAATTAGTTACTTTAAAAAAATGCAGAATGGCCATTATTTATTTATTTTCATAACAGAGATTGAACCTAGGGGTATGCTTAACCACTGAGCCACATCCCCACCCCTTTTAATTATGAAACAGGGTCTCACTAAATTTCTCAGGGTCTCTCTAACTTGCTGAGGCTGACTTTGAACTTGACAGCGTCTTGCCTCAGCCTCCCAAGCTTCGGGGATTTATAGACATGTACCACCACATCCAGCAGAATTTTTTTTAATTAGTTACAAGAAAATTTGTTTACTGATAATAAAGAAACTGAGGAAGTGGATATGGATTCAATATTGATCTCCTAAAATAGGTGACAATACTAGTCTTTGAATGGTTTTTTGTTTTCTTTTAATTTATACTAGATTGTCTTTCTAAAGCTCCATGTAAACCATTTTTCAGCTGAAAATAAAAAAAAAATAGGATAATCTGGCATTCATTGTTAAATTCATTGACCAAGAAAATATTCAGGGTATGAGGCTTCCTAATGCCCAGAGGCTGGGGTAGTAACTCAGTGGTACAGCATGTGAAAGGCTCTGGGATCTATATCTAGCACTGAAGGAAAAAAAATCCTAATTTAAACCTCATATTCTCAAACTTTTAAAAATTAGAAATATAAAACAATAATGTTTATAGACTGAGAAAATTACCCATTAAGATAGGTTTCCTCCTAATTTTTAAAATAGCCTTATTTTCTAATTGTTAGTTGTAGGATCAAACTTCTTTTGTTTCCTTTTCCTTCTATTATTGGAAATAAAAATTCGACAATGTAGCAAGGTTGAGAAAGTGTTTTCTTTTAAAAGATAAATGTCTCTCTTCTATTTAGATTTATTACCATGTCAACTCCAACCCTTATAACCAGTGACATTTAGTTTCAACACTCAGGGAATCTAAATTCCTAATTAAAATCAGAAGAACACTACATCAAAGAATCAGAGGCCTGTATGACATAAACAAATTACCTCTGGAGGGCAATTTCTTTAAATTTAATTTCTTTAGATTTTGTAGTTTCTTTAAATTTCTCTTCTTATAATTTTCTGAATTTCTTTTCTTGGAAATTTCTTTAAACTACAAAATCAATATAATACCAGTGAGAGAGAATTTTAAGAAAAAGAAAAAAGTTATCTGTATACCAACATAAATAATTTCATTTGTGCATGTGCTACTGAATTCTTTACCCTGGTGTATATGTTTTAGAGTGGCAATTGTGTCATTTACTGAAATTTGTATTAGATTATTTTCATGAGGGTCTCTTAGTGATTTTCTTTTTGTTTTCTTTCTTTTCTGTTTGTTTCATTATTGAATATCCAGAAGATACCTAAAGCAGTGCCCAGTAGCTATTCTAATAATTATAATAAAGAACAGAAGGATTGTCACAATGCCCTGATGTTCTATAAATGTAGGATATATTACTTTTATACTATAGGACCAAACTACAGTTGGTGCTCAGGAAACAAAGTATGAGTTAATGGATTCCACTATTAACTTTCTTCTGAGGTATTTCAGGTCTTTTTTCATGCTCTAAAATGAAGTAGGCGTGAGATTTGGGTTTTGCCAAGATGGCTCTGTGCTGGTTTCGAAGACTATGCCTGTCATTGATCACTGTGGCTCCAAGAGGACAAGGGGCTTGCTCTCCTTTAATAACGAGACCAAGTTCTGCATGCTGTGGGCATCTAAACAGGGACAGTGTATAGTGTGGCAGGTGATGGTGAGGACTAGCCAGACTGACAGAAATCCATTCTGCTCCAATGTGGTATAGCTTCTAGCACTTTTTCACATGTAAAGGATTTTATAAAGTTGTATTAATGCATATAGTTTTTGTATTCTGCTTTTTTTTCCAATTAATTCTGGCACACTTTTCTCCATATGGCTCATGCAATGAAGCACCAATTCCATTCTACTGTAATAATGCAAGATGTAGCTGGAATAGGGCATGAGAATTAATGAAAGGTCGCCATCTAGTGGATGTCATTCCCCTTTTGAAAGCGATGTTAATGTACCTAGGCATTCCTCCCTTACTGCATCTGTTTGCACCTGGCTGGACTCTTTACCCCATTTTCAAAGGAGCAAAAAGGCCATTGTCTTCTTGGTATCACAAAAATAAATGACAGAGTCTTCATAAATAGCTTAAGGCCATCTTGGCCAAACCCAAATCTCATATCATAATTGAGGCTGAAGCTTACTGCCAGGGAAGAGACTTGAAAATCCTCAGAAGAAAATTAATAATGTGATTCAGTAACTCATATTTTGCCTCCTGAACTCCTCCTGAGCAGATTTTATGAAATGAGTTTGAATAGCAAGGGACATCTAAGTGTGATCTGTATCTGGTTTTGAATAGCAAGTTGTGAGGGTTCAGATAGCTCAGGCATGCCATTCACACAAATAATTTCAGCACTACTCTCCAATCGCAATGCATCAGGGCATGAGCTGGGGGAGAAGGAAATGTGGATCACCTGTGAGGTTGACAGGTACAAATCTCTGTTTTACTATTGCATGCAAAAAGACCTTGAGAAAGAAGTCTAACAGGGTGCAGATACAGAAGTGTCAGGGAAGTCTTACAACTCATTTATTAGACACTGTACCTGCTCATTGAGTGGCATCATTATAGGTAGAAAGAACATCAACTGCATCTTCAGTCTTGTGCTTGGATCCTGTATCCACAACTCATTCAGGCAGTATTTCCTATTAGTTATATGCAGGCTCTGCCACCAGCTCAACTGTGGTTCAAATTCTGGTTCTACGACTTAATATTTCTGTAACTTTAAGAAGTGAATGTCTCTGGACTGTTTCCTCATCTGTGAAGTGGGAATAGTGGTATTTATCTGATGGAATGGTTGTGGAGAAAATTAATAAAAAGTATTTAGAAGAATGCTAGTATAGTGTTCAATAAATATTATTGTTGCTAGCCAGTGTTTTCTGATTGTACAACCTATACTTAAAGTTTGTAAATATCATGTATATATGTTCTCATTAAAAATCCAAATATGAAAATCTATTCATAACTGGATATTGCAATGTATGTGTGGGTGGTATAAAGATTATCTTTGGAAAATAATTGATTTAGAGACCCTATACATAGATTCTCCAGTATAATTTGTTTCTACTTCTGAAATGTTACTAACATGAGACAATAAAATTTGCATTAATTTTGTATGATAGTTGCTTCTTGAAATAGCACTTCCTATCATAGTAGTTTTAAATATACTATTATTTATACCAAAATAATCTAGAACACACATCAAAATAATAATGATAGTGGGGGTGTACCTTTTGTTTTTCAGTTCTAATTTTTTGTGATGCATTTATATGTCTTTTATAATGAAAAATCTATAAAGACTCACATTAAGATGCAGATGCATGGGAGAACAAATGGAAAGCAACACTTGAGTGCTAAATTATCAGTATATAATTTTGAAAGACATTTTTAGTATTAGATGGACACAATACATTTATTTACTTATTTATTTAAAGTGCTGAGGTTTAAACCCAGTGCCTTACACGTGCTAGGCAAACATTCTACCATTAAGCTACAACTCCATCCCAAATTACCAGTACATTCATTCTTCATCCTCTCTCTCCTTCAGGGCAAACAGATTTACAGAGCAACTCAACTGCAAGGCCCATCGGAAATACAGCCAGGTGGACAATTTGAAAGGGAGATGGCAACAGTGGGCTGATGAACACGTACAATCCCAGAAGCTCAACCCTTTCAGTGAAGAATTTGACTACGAGCTAGCCATGTCCACTCGCCTGCACAAAGGAGACGAGGGCTATGGCCGTCCCAAAGAGGGAACCAAAACTGCTGAAAGGGCCAAGCGAGCCGAGGAGCATATCTACAGAGAAATTATGGAGCTGTGCTTCGTCATCCGCACAATGGCTCGCCACAGACATGATGGCAAGATTCAGGTTACTTTTGGAGAACTCTTTGACAGATATGTTCGTATTTCAGATAAAGTAGTGGGCATTCTCATGCGTGCCAGGAAACACGGACTGGTGCACTTTGAAGGAGAGATGTTATGGCAAGGTCGGGATGACCATGTTGTGATCACTCTACTTGAGTGAGCCTTCAAGAATAAAAATCAAACTTGACCCTCTCCTGTCTTACTACAAAATGCTAATGCACTAAATATTAAAACACAAACTGCTCTGTAATAAGTCTGTAAATATTAAAACATTTTTACATAAACGACTTTTGGGCTCTACTTCTGTTGAAGAAGCTTGAAGCTTTTGAGAAAGCACACAAAGCATCTTAGAAAGCATGTAGAGAATGTTATTAATATACTACTATTATTAACATTTGAAATTCCACTTATCTTTTTTAAATATTTTATTTAGTTGTAGGTGGACACAATACCTATTTTTTTTAAATGTGGTGCTGGGGATAGAACCCAGTGCCCCACACATTCTGGGCAAGTGCTTCAATTCTGAGCCACAACCCCAGCCCCTCTATCTTTTAAGGCAAAAATATTAGGCTATTCACTGCAGATATTATTTATAGATTTTTAAATATCAGCTCTAGGAAGAATCCCGACTTCAGGAAAACATCAGCAGAACATATTACAATGTCAATGTCAATTTTCAAGAAAAAATTCCATTGTGTTAAACTAAAATTTTCCAAGAAACTAGACTTATTTTGTTTTTAATCATAGCATCACTTATGAAATGGGTACAAATTGTTGTCAATTAGATGTTCAAGTTCCTCTGAGGGCTGAGATTCTAATAGGCTTCTTTTTCCTTCTGTGTGACATGCAATTTGCATGTTATGGTTTAGCTATGAAGATGTCCCCCAAAAGCTCAGGTGTGAAACAATGCAAAAAAAGTTGAGGTGAAACAACTGGTTACAAGAGCTTTACCCTAATCAGTGCACTATTCCATTTGAATGGATTAACTGTGTGGTAAGTGTAGGCAGGTAGGGTGTGGCTAGAGGAGACAAGCACTGGGGGTGGGGGCATGACTTTGGGTATATATTTTGTCCCTGGTGAGCAGAACTCTCCCCTGCTTTTCCAACTGAGCTGCTTTCCTCTTCCGCACCCTTCCACCATTCCTGCCCACATCTCACCCCAGTGGTGGGAATGGGGTTCCCCTTGGTGGAATGGGCTGGCTGAGAAATAAAAGCTAGGAAAAATTGAACTGCGTAAAAACCACAGAATACAGAAAGTAGTTTCAAAAGTGGGGGGCAGATGGACAAACTGATCAGAGAGATTGAGCTTCTGGACAAAATGAAGTCCCCACCTGCTTTATTTATATAGGGAAACATGAGATTCTATAGAATGTTCTCCAAAAAAAGGTTAAAAGTGGGCTGTTCAGTTCCTAGCAGGTTATGCCCATCTCTGGAGCTACTATGTGAACCTTCCTAGCAGAGCAGAGGAAAAGGTCACGTGCATTGGGCAATCTATTGCTGTGGGAGAGCCACAGAAAGTTCCCAATGCCTGGCCCATATCTCCCAGGCTACCATGCCGAGAAGATCCTCATGCATTTCACTGATGGCTTCCCCCACACGGTGACGTCCTGCCTTACCTGGGGCCCAGAGCAATGAAGTCCACTGTCTATGGACTGAGACCTTTGAAAGAAAATTTCCCTCCTCTAAAATTGCTCTTGTGATGTCTTTTGGAAGCAATGAAAAAGCTGAGTAAAACATCAAATAAAAACAGAAATCATGGTGGCTGGTGGTCTCAGATCTGATAAAGAAGGTGTCATTTATGTCAAAGTACAATGAAGCAAAATACAGGACATTCTATGAAGTAGAATGTTCAGTGTAGAAGAATCTTAGTCTCATTGGTGAATTAATAATCAGTTTAAAAAATTTTAGTTTTCCCCATTCTCTACAAAGATAATTTAATGAAATACCTAGAAGTCTAAAAATAGCAATATCAGTTCTGCAAAGGTTTTTAAAAAGGCATAGTAAATGTGATGATAAGGAGAAAATTATTTGACATTAGCCTGTTGGTTGTCAATTTTTCTCCTTAATTTAATGTGTTTACAAAATACTAAACACAAATTGAGTAAAATGTCATATTATAATTAATGAATTCAATAAAAAAGTTACTAAAATGCATTTTGGCATTATATACAAAAGTTAATTTCATATTATTCCTCGAACTAAAAGGCATTCATAAGTTTATTAATCTGTATTTTATTTTAAACCTATCTTAAGAATTACCTTTGTTTTCATGTGTTTTTCTGTCAAACTGAAAGTTCCAATATCTTCTTACAGAAGAAAATAATATGTATATTTTTGTTTGCATACTAGATTTATGAAGATACAAATTAATGACTAATATTTCTAAATACAATTTTATATAAGAAACACACTTCTGTTACAACAGTGAAATCTATGTCAAAATTTCAAAGCCAATTGGCTAAAGGACAAAACGTTTTCTTATTTTTCTTGTTATATACTATTTTAGATTATATCCCACAATATCACTTTCTTGTGTTTGAAATACAATAAAATTTCAGGGTGTAACTGAGGTTACTCCTAGTATTATAGAATACTGAGACCAGACTTCAAGTGTTCCCTCATATTCAACTCTGAACAAAAACAGCTTAAGCAGTCACTGACACAGATTATTTAGTTTGATTTGTTTGAATTTGAGGATGATGTGGAAGTCCTCTTCTTAAGAGAGCTGACAATCACTCAGACCTATGGATAAAGTCTGGCTCTCAAGTCAGAAGTGAGTTTTCTTGAATAAAAATGCCTGACACATAATAGGCTTAGACTGACAAGCAGCTTGTGAGGATAGCTATCTTCTTCAGTGTTTGTGACACAAAAAGTAGCTCATGGTTTGTAGATTTTTTTCTTTATTATTGTTATCTGGATACTTTAGGTCATCTGTCCTAACACTGTTTCTTGACTTGGAATTTAAAAAAATGTTTTTTCATCAACCAAATGATTATTATTCTAAAAACTCCATGATAGGAGAAATTCAGTTGGAAAACTTAGGACAATTTGACAAAAAAACCCAAAAACAAACAAACAAAAAACCCAAAACTAATCACACATGCTAATGGAAATTCTTATGAGTATTTTTTACAGTCACCCAAACACACGAAATAATTATCACAGATATTTCTAAATTCCCAATAACAGTTTAATTAATTAAGCAATTTTCAGGATTTCCCTTTTCAAAACTTTCCAATGGTCAAAGGATTTTGTACTTTTGATACATACTTCTTCACCCTGTTTGGACCTCCATCCAAATATTTTATTGCTCTAAACTTTCATAACTTGGAAGTTTTCTGACTCCTGATTTCAAAGTTCACCTTCTTGTGGCTCTGCCCACTTAGAACACAAGGAAGTTCAGAGCTTAGGGTTTTTTTTCTTCCTACCACTGACAAAATGAGGCCACATTCTCTTGGTTTGCCTTCTGCTTTTTCATTTCTGAACCCGAGTTCCTTCTTTTCCTTATTAGACACAGGAATAGTGTATATGTATTTGTAAACAAATATATGCACACAGGGCTGGGGTTGTTGCTCAGTGGTAGAGCACTTGCCTAGCACGTGTGAGGCACTGGATTGAATCCTCAGCTCCACATAAAAAAATAATAAAGTTATAAAAATATATGCACACTGGATTGTATATTTATAAATGTTTATATAGTTTGAAAATAGTATAAGCAGAAATAAATCAATTTCCTGAAGGGATGGGTATAATTGAGAGGAGAGATACACTTCTCAGAACACATCTGTTTGTAGAGCTTTATTTGGGAGCTTCTAAATATTTTACATATATCTGGGTGAACAAATATATACATTACTATGGGTGCATACTATTCAGGAATTAAAATTTTCTAGTCAAAGGTATGAACATGCTTAGTTTTAGTAAATGTAGCACAAAAAATTTTCTAAATGTGATCTCACATTCTCCTTTAATAAAGCTTTTATTGACTGCTTTAATAGTCTTGGGTTAACCATTAAGTCCCAACTGTTCAATTCCACGTAGGATGATAGGACACAATGTATTAAAGTCCTGTGACTTTTCCTTTGCTGAGGTCTTTTGATTTGTAGTCATTTCTATATTGTGAATGAGTTATTAGACTTATTACAAAAACCTTATACTTGTTGGTTGTCTTTTCACTTTAAACAATGCCTTTTGATAAAGTGCTTAAAAATTTTAATGTTATACCATGTTTTCTCCTTTACACCATCTTTTTTTCTCCTCTGATCCTTAGTGCTTTAATTTAATTTAAGCCTATCCTAAGGTTATGAAGATATTTTCCTCTTTTTAAAACAGCTTTATTGATTTACTTTTTACAATTAAACATACAATCTGTAATTCTTATTTGTGGTGAATTAAGTTTTTCTATTCCAAACAGATATCCAATTAATGTAGCACCATTTACTGAAAAAAATATTCCCGGGGCTGGGGATGTGGCTCAAGCGGTAGTGCGCTCGCCTGGCATGCATGTGGCCCGGGTTCGATCCTCAGCACCACATACAAAGATGTTGTGTCCGCCAAAAACTAAAAAATAAATATTATAAAACTCTCTCTCTCTCTCTCTCTCTCACTCTCTAAGAAAAAAAAAAGAAAAAAATATTCCCTTTACTGGGCAGTAGTATTATTAGCTTAAAAAAAAATCAGACTTCTAATAGTACCTGTCTTACTCAAGCTTTTTAATATGGAAATGTCACACACTTGTTCTTCAATGTTGCCTTACTCTTAGCCTTTACATTTCCACATACATTCTAGAATAGCTTAATTTTCACAAAAATAAGGTTAAGATTTTTCACTTATCAATATTGATTTTTACAGAACTGACATCTTTCAGTGTTCTCTGTCATCATAAATATGGTATATCCTTCCTACACAGATGTTCATTTTTTTTGGATATTTAGCTGATATTTTCAGTGTTACTACAAAATAGTAATACTTTACATTTTCTACTTCTTTGTATATAAAAATGGATTTTTTCGTTCCAATTTTTGAGTATCAAGCTTATAATCAGTGCCATTGATAAATCAACTAATTCCAATAGTTTGATCTCTTTAGAATTTTCGGTCAATAACCATACCTTATTCAATGACATTTAAATGTCTTTCTTCCTGTCCTATGTATTTTTTTTTCTTTCTTGATCTATTGCACCAGTTAGAATTTCTAGAACAATGCTGAATAGAAGCCATGTAGTGGTTGTTATTGTCTGGTTTCCTATCTCAAGAGAGGAAGGTTTCAATAATTCACCATTA